AACAAAAAACATCACAATACTCAAATGTTACCACTGGATTCATCCATGTGTATGTCAGTTGAAAATCTTATTTTGTTAGCTTATGTTACTACTGAATACATCTTTGTGTGCGTCATTTAAAAATTTTATTTTAGTAGGCTATGTTACTACTGGATTCATCCTTGTGTATGTCAGTTGAAAATCTTATTTTGTTAGCTTATGTTACTACTGATTACATCTTTGTGTGTGTCATTTAAAAATTTTACTTTAGTAGCCTATGTTACTACTGGATGCATTCTTGTGTATGTCAGTTGAAAATCTTATTTTGTTAGCTTATGTTACTACTGATTACATCTTTGTGTGTGTCATTTAAAAATTTTACTTTAGTAGCCTATGTTTCTACTGGATGCATCCTTGTGTGTGTCAGTTAAAAATCTTACTTTGTTAACTTTTGTTACTACTGGATGCATCTTAGTGTCTGCCACTTAAGAATATTACTTTGTTAGCTTATGTTACTACTGGATGCTTTTATACGTGTTTGTCCCTGAAACAGAATACTTTTAAAATGATACAGAAACTATGAAAACAAATGTGATGTAATTACTACAAATTTAATGTAAAACTAAGTGAAAGAGGTTGTACATTATATTGAAAGAATGATAAGCTAACAAAGTAAGATTTTTAACTGACATACACATGGATGAATCCAGTGGTAACATAAGCTAACAAAGTAAGATTTTTAACTAACACACACATGTATGCATCCAGTAGTGACATAAGTTAACAAGTAAGATTTTTAACTAACACACACATGTATGCATCCAGTAGTGACATAAGTTAACAAGTAAGATTTTTAACTAACACACACATGTATGCATCCAGTAGTGACATAAGCTAACAAAGTAACATTTTCAACTGACAGACACAAGGAGGAATCCAGTAGTGACATAAGTTAACAAAGTAAGATTTTTAACTAACACACACATGTATGCATCCTGGAGTAACGTAAGCTAATATAGTAAGACTTTTAAATAATACACACGTGTATGCATCCTGGAGTAACGTAAGCTAATATAGTAAGACTTTTAAATAATACACACGTGTATGCATCCAGGAGTAACATAAGTTAACAAAGTAAGATTTTTAACTAACACACACACATGTATGCATCCAGTAGTGACACAAGTTAACAAAGTAAGATTTTCAACTGACAGACACAAGGAGGAATCCAGTAGTAACAAAAGCTAAAAAAGTAACATTTTTCAATGACACACACACACATATATGAATCCAGGAGTAACATAAGCTAATAAAGTAAGATTTTTAAATAATACACACATGTATGCATCCTGGAGTAACGTAAGCTAATATAGTAAGACTTTTAAATAATACACACGTGTATGCATCCAGGAGTAACATAAGCTAATATAGTAAGATTTGTAAATAACACACACGTGGATGCATCCAGGAGTAACATAAGTTAACAAATTAAGAATTTTAACTGACACATACAAGGATGCATCAAGACGTAACATAAGCTAAGAAAGTAAGATTTTTCACTGACAGATAAAAGGATGAATCCAGGATTTTGAGGAATTCATGCAATTGCTTTGTGGTAATTTCCAAGTTTAAGACATTTTTCTTGAAATAGTAAGAACAAAATACAAGGAGATAAAGTGAGAGTGTAATACACGTATATATCTAATGAAATGGCATAAGAAATAACACTGTTGTTGAGGTCGATAAATAGAGGTAGTACAAGTAGCCTAAGATGGCTAGTTAGAGGATGAATAAAATATGTTAAGAAAACTAGAGAGTAGCGATATTGAGCATCATAAGTTACAAAATGAGTTATAAAAAATTAAGCTCTTGCCTAGCAATGAAGTAGATGCACTAGCACCAGTGATTAATTACTGACACCAACTGGTTAGTACTGTGGAGGCTATGAAAAAGTTGATGTTAACACGCAAAAGTGGTACTTTGATGATATCTTCCTTACACCATGGTTTCCCAACCCAATCTCCGCAAAGCAAATTTTAATGCTCCGTGACGCATATTGAAACTTTCTTAATTATTATGAGAAATGAAATGTACTGCAAAAATAACATCACAGAAATGCCTCAAATGCTTGTAAATAATCAGTGAGAAGGTTTTTTTGTACTAATCATCTTCTAATTGTAGCTGTATTTGAAATTCTCATTTATTTTTACTTATTTATACCCTCAATTGTGACTTTTTTCTCGTTTTTTTTCTGCATATGTGCCAACTTTTATTTGGACCTTGGAGCTACATTTTGAAAAAAATTAAGCTAATTCCTATATTTACATGTTAATTTTTAAATTTTTTATTCGCTAAAATGAAAATACGTATAGATTAATTATGAAAGTAATTGCTGCTAGATTTAAATAAACTAAATTGGCAACACTGCTTGCAGACTATCAACTGCCTGAGCCATGGAACAAGAGCTGCTCACTAGCCACAAATCTCCAGTGCTGTTGACATCGTAATTCTGGCCAGATTAACCTACCTATTTGTGCAGATTATCATTTTGAGAAATCTTTGTCTCACCTAGCTTTTCATTTATTTTATTTCTTGAACAGTGCCAGAACTCCAAATATAAAATTGACTGATTTCACCAATAAAATGGATAAATGAAACAAGTCTAGTGAAGGCAGCGTTACTCTGGAAGTTCTGACGAAGTAGGCCTAAGTGGGAAAGTATGGCGACTTCGTCGATATCATTGCCATGTAACAAAGTGCCAAGAACGCATAATAAAAGTGTCATAAAAAGAGTTAAAAAGAAAATATGACGATAGCTTTATAAACTATGGTTTTACATGAACTGGTGATAAGGAAGAACCAAGTGGACTTTGTGTTGAATGTGGAAAGGTGCTGAAGAATAGTCTCTTTCCTGCAAAACTCAAATGACATTTAGAAACCAATCATTCTCATATGAAAAATAGAAGTCATGAATATTTTAAAAGGAGGTGCTTAGAAATAGACGAAAGAAAAACTAACTTTCATTCATCTATTTCTAAAGACAACGAATGAGCTCTTATTACTTCATATGACATTAGCTACCATATAGCTAAAGAAGGTGAATCCCATACCACAGCTGAAAATTTAATCAAGCCTTCTGTCAAAGATTTTGTGGAATGTATGATTGATGAAAAGTACAAACAAAACATTAATTGTGTGCCTCTTTCAAATAATAGTTTCTAGGTGTATTGAAGACATGTCAGCATTTTGAATTAATAAGCCGAGTAAAGCCGAGTCCAACTTTTTCTCTCCAAATGGATGAATCCACTGATGTTATAGGCTTGGCCATTTATTAGTGTTTGTTTGTTATAGGCATGAATCTCATATTGAATAAAATATTGTACTGTGCAAGCCTTTAGCGATGCAAACAAAATGGGAAGAAATATTTAAGTTGGTTGATTTTTTTATGAAAGACCATAGAATTTCATGGAAACAATGTTCAAGCATATGCACTGATGGAGCTGCTGCTATGATAGGAAAAATTTCAGAAGCTGTAGCACGCATGAAGTATCCATTGCTTTCTGCATTAGCATGCACTTGCCATGAAGCATATGCCCTTAAATTTGAAACAAGTAATTAGTGATGTAACTAAAATAATTAATTTCATAAAATCAAGACCACTTAAATCAAGTTTTAGCTAGATTCTACGAGTTAATTACAGTTTTTTGTCCCAACATCCATTTGAGCTTTCTTACAAATTAACTCTTTCGACGTGGGATCGGTCCCTGGGACCGACCTCGTAACCATAACTTCATTACAGCTTACATACTAATAACGTTTAATATTTAAAGTGTATCTTTACAAAATTTTGTAGACTTATAGTAAGCATTAGAAGCCTTTTGCATACAAAAAATCAGATTTTTTTAATGAAGTATTTTTACTTAAATTTGTCCGTGAAATATCGGTTTTTTTTTTAACTAGTCTGATTGCAAAGTGATTTTCATGTCAAGATTAAAAATACTTTTAGTCATCTAAAAAATCTCAAATTTCCTTTGTGTAATCCCTAAAACCTCCTCAATGCATTTCAAACTTTTTTTCACTAAATCCTTATAGTTTCTATGTTATTTTCTCTACCCTATCTCAGAACAGTATCGGTCAATACGACCAACCTCGTAACCACAAAAAATCGAAATAAACCTAAATAACTTTCTTTTCTTTCTAGAATGACTTCAAATTGTAACCTGCAACTACATTCGTTTATCCTAAGTAGTTCTAAGTTCGTAACATTATACATCTATTTACAATTAAATCTTAATGTCTTATTGCCCTTCTAACCGTGTCTAACTGCTATTCCCGCCATAAAAGTTGTAAATCACTTGTGGAATGTGCAACTCACGTTACGCTATTGAATTATATTACCCACGAGGTGCTTACGTGCATGCCTTGTAAACCATTTTAATCATATTATTATTATTTTACCTAATCTAGTCTTAAATAACTTAAAATGATCTGTACCTTTAATGTTACTTTTATAATAATAAATAAAGAAATAAAGTACTTACACAATCTTCTTTTTTCTTGCTCTCAATTGCGAGGACAGTTAAGCCTGGTTTTTTTTTTAGTGATTATAGTAAAGCAGTAAACAATTTTTATTTAATTAACTAATACACCAAAGAATATAGACTAATAACATGCAAAAAGTAGACAAATTCACTTACCTCTCAAAATTTTCCTTGCTTTCTAATAATGCGACAAGAGCCATTACAAATTCTTCCAAGCTAGTCGTTAACTTTCTCATGGGAATGAATCTTGTACTGTGAGTGAAATTAACAATATTCTGTTCAGAATACAACATTATACAATACGTCATTTGACAGATTAAAATCTTGACTTTCTATTGGTTATAGGTAATATATAATAAAACGTACGAGAGAACTATCAACGAATTGTGAAAGAGGATGTGACAAGTGTGGCAGGAGGGTTCTGATTTTCTATTGAATAGCTCTGTAACCATACAAAATTGAAGTTTATAAAAACTATGGTCTGTTTATTTTTCAAGGGGTGATGGATAAAATATGGATGATAACATGCTAAGACAAAATGTGTCACGTGTGTTGCACTAGTGGGATTTCAGGCTTTTTTCATATATTTCCTTGTAGAATTAAGAACTTAAAACTTGTATACTATTAAAATATGGATTATTAGCTGCAATTTTATGCTATTTTAATTGGTATAACATAAACAAAAAGTAGTTTAATAAAATTTTGATAGGGTTAGGTGATACATGTTTGTTGCAGGGATTGGCTTACCTTTCAGATATATTCTATATCTGAGTGAAATAAACATTACATTGCAGGGAAAAAATTAACATATTTCAAAGCTTAGAGTAGGATTAATACACTTCACTGTAAGCTAAAACTTTGGAGTGAGTGTGTTTTGGGGGAAAATTATGATTGCTTTGATAATCTTTGTGAATTTTTACTTGTTAATGGAATTTCCCTGGATAAAGACGTAAAAGATTCTGTCGTGCAACATTTATCCGATATGAGAGCAACCACTGTTGAATACTTTCCTTAACATGTCAAGAAGTTCCTTTGGATTCAAAATCCATTCACTGATTCTGTGAATACAGATGAATTGTCTTTGAAAGAAAAAGAGCAACTTATAGAAATTTCCACCGACTCTACATTATTAACTTTCTTTCAAATTGTTGATTTTTGGATTAAGATATATACGGAACACAGAGAAATCACAATCAAGGCATTGAAGTTTTGGTGAATTTCCCAACAACATACCTTTGTGAAAAATATTTTTCATTATATGCTGCTACCAAAACCAAATTTAGAAATAGATTGAACATAGAAAATGAGCTCCGTTTACAGATAACATCAATAACTCCTGATATTGAAAAAATTTGCAGTACAAAGCAACCGCAAGTGAGCCACTAAATTGTGCCAAAAATATTTCTTTTTTGTCTTTTATTTGAAATTATTCAATAAAGTCATTGTTTTTATGCATTTCTTTTTTACTTTTTCTAATCCATAAGGTTTGTTTAAAAATTTACAGATGATATTGCTCTGCAAATAATGTTTTCCCGTTAAAAGTGCTCTGAAAGAGCAAAAAGGTTGGGAAACCCTGCCTTACATGACACTGGTGTACTAGCACAAGTAAGAAAGCAACCGACTAACTCACTATAACAGTAACCAATCACTTGAGGGTTTTGGTTATGGTTTTGGAACAGTCCAATGTGTTACAAGAATTAACCAATAAGGTGTAAGAACCACTTGCTGGTAGTGCTGCATATAACTTGGGAATTTGTACAAACACAAAGGAAAAAACTGTTTAAAAACTCATGTTCAAGGCAGAAAATTAGTCTCCTCGTGAGTTCTTACTAAGTTCTCATGAATTCCAGCAGTTTCTCTTAGACGATGTTGAAAGAATCCAACCTGCAAATATACACCTCACCAACTATGTTGTAAGTAGAATTTTCTGATTCAATCAGTGTAGTTATAGTAAGAAAGATTTAAGAAAGACTTATAATGCATTATCTAATTATTAATAGAAGGTTTACACGAGATAAAGTAAAGAATTTTGCTAAAAATGTGAATTGTTAAACAAGAAGTTATCTATATCCTTAAGGCTATTTTATTAATAACTGAAAGACTCAGACTCAAGTTTCTTTATTTTAATTGTAAGTTACCTAGAGTTTGTGACTTGTAAGCTCCACTCGCCACTGCAATCCTCAACTACATAAATTTGGTATAATCTGCAGTATAATTGAAACTCAAACAATTAACTCTAAGGGTGCTGCCCATTACAAACATAAGCTAATAAAGTTAGATTTTTTAACTGAAAGATACAAGGATGCATCCAGTAGCAACACAACCCGACAAAGCAAGATTTTTAACTCAACACCCATGGATTCATCCTGTAGTAACACAATCTGACAAAGTAAGATTTTTAACTCAACACCCATGGATTCATCCTGTAGTAACACAATCTGACAAAGTAAGATTTTTAACTCAACACTCAGGGATTCATCCTGTAGTAACACAATCTG